GCATTTTGATTTTGCTTTGCTGAACGCACATGCAACTAGTGGATTTAACTCTGTGCCAGGAGTGATATGTCAAAAACATTTAGAAAAACTTACTGGTTTTGTTTTACTGAAGTCAAGCATGAGTAGCATGCAATAGATTGCAAGGAAAAGCAAAAGGACGTCCATTTCCAAAGGATTTATAATCTCCATGCACATGTAAAATGTCTCTTACAAAAATCATTAACATTTGTTAAAAGTGTGCCTTTTTGCCTCTTATAATACAAGTGTACATGCAATTACCTGTCCAAGCTAAAACTATTTACAAAATTTCATAATACAATACATCTTTTAAAGTGAATAATACATGAAAGGCCAATGTTTTCTGTTGTTTTGTAACACTGTACAAGATTAAAAATAAATAAGGCATTATAATACAGGTTTATCACAAATTAAAAAAATGTTGGTTTTCACTGTAATACAAAATTCTAACTTGAAAGAACATTATGGCTAAATAGTCCTCCTGCCTGGGCAGAACATACAGAATCTGAACTTGCTGATGTAAAGAAAATGCTTTGTTTCTGCTACAAGCAGGAATTCAGCAAATGAAAATAAATCGCACTACTTACTAATGTGTTCAGGCTCCTCAAAGCACTGAAATGGCACAGGTCATATACTGTTTCCCTTCAAACAGTGACTCCCAAATACTTTCTTTTGCCTTACAGATAAAATACAGGCAAAAGTGTGAAAGAGATTTAGGCGCATGACCTACTCTCAGGTTACAGTGTTGTAAAATACTCAGTTCAGTACTGATGAGAGACATCGCTGTAACCCAAAGCAGAACTTGGCCTACAGAAGCTCAACTCCTGACCATAAGTATGCTAAACTCTTGGTGATTTCTGCAGGCCTTGTGGGTACATAAGGGATGCAGATTCAGCCCTAACAAGCTGAAGCTTTTTTGGCTCTCAGACTCACCTAAAGAAAGCAAGGGAGAATTTGCATGTGTTTTAGTGAAGACAAGGGAGTGTGACTTGCCACAGTGGGAAGCAGCTACAAAAACTAATGCATTTTACAGGCTGGATAAAATAGCTTTCTAGTCAATGCAAATGGAAAATGTTTGGAAATATCTAGCCAGTTATTCAACTGAATGCCAGTTCGTAATCTCAGCAGAGAATAATAAATAAAAAATCATTGAAAGATAAAGGTAGCATAGGAACACTTTGAAATTAGCTCCCAAGACAGTGAAATCTGAGGATCTCTGATACTTATCTCCTTATATAAAGAACAAAAGACTTCAATTATTACTATTATCGGAAAGAGAAAACGTGCAAACTGGTGTGAAATATTGTGCTTACTACTGACAGACATCGACACGCCAAAATGGCATCACCTTTCTGTACGGCTCGTATCTGTTAAATGTTTCACGCTAACAGCTGCAGAGAACAGTGAACAGAAGTGCAGGAGGCTATTCTGCCCACAATGCAACAAGTGACTATCCTCGGTTAAATGGGGACTTTTGGGTGCTGTGGGGCAGAACTGACTCCTTGCTGGGGCTACAGCAAGTTTGTCCAGACAAAAGTTACAGAGCTTGACCAGAAAATTAATAAATGCAAGATAGGAAATATAATTGCACGCATTAAGGTGGACACAACACAAATCCCACAGAAATACAAGGAAATCCTTCTGATGATTTTCAAGGATATTGGAGTGGGTCACATATTATATTCAGCAAATTGCCAATAAAAATTTGACTACAAGCTTTTCTGATTTGGCAGAAAATGTGCATTTGTGGGGTTATCAGAAGTATTGCTACTACCTCTTTCCATGTATAAACCTTACTGAACATATCAAAGAATGCAGAAGAGCAGAGAGATTAAAACATTCATTTAAAGCTATCATATGAGAGCTTAAATAAAACAAATAAACACCGAAAAGGAAAATGGGGAAAATGTTATGAATAGGGAGGGAAAGCATAAAGGCAAGAGCACAGCTTCATTATATCGTTATTTCAACAGGCATTTAGTTTCCCCTGTTGGAAAAGCTGCTGAACACTATCATTTTCACATAGCTTTTTACTAATTTGTGCCTCGGCTGAACTTTCTTCATGTACTGCTCAGTCTAGGACAACGCAAGATATAGTTTTCCCCATAGTAAAACCAGCAACAACCACTATAACAAAAAATATGAAAAATGTTAATGATTGGAATCAGAGTCTGGAAACTGACTCCAAATACACCATCATTGATGCTGTAAGCTAGCACACACACACTGGACTGGCTGCAGTACCAAAAAGCCATCCTGGTCCACTCAACCTGCTCTGGAGCCATGGGCCTCCTGCAAAAGGACTGAATGAGAAGTTGATGATGGACTGCACCTGTCTGGTCCTTTCCATTCATCATGGAAAACATTCTTACAAAACTCACGTGCCTCGTTTGACTGTGGGAGAGGAGGATTAGGATTAGAAAAGAAAATGGAGTAAATTCTACTGTCACCTGCTAATCTTTTAAAATATTAAAGTGAATAATCCAAATTTACCTTCCTACGTGATCTTCCACTGATATTACTCCAGGACTAGGCCAGGAATTAGTCTGGGAATGAGATCAGCCTCGAAAATATTAGCACAGAGGACAATTCCTTTCTGATAGCTGTCCCTTTAGTGATAAATAATCAATGGTAATATGCCTATATCTTGGATCTATTAAAAAAGTAACAAAATTAATTTCATTGTGAGCTTTTGGGGTGGGTCAATGGCTGTATTTGGTCTATGTGTTCAAGCACTACCAGATCGACTGCTAGAATCTGAAGATGCTTTTAATAACAGTATATGTAAAAATTATGTTTTCTTATTATCAAGGAAATGGACTGATTCAAAAAATGCATAACGGGCTCCTTGTGAGTGGAACTGAGTGATTAATGCTATTGCACATAATGCTATTGCACATAATGCTTTCCACTTTGGTTAAAAATTTAACTTACCTGTGTGACAATTTAGTTCTTAAAAATCTATCAGAAAACATAAATATGCTGTGTGGATACCACTTATTCAGTTTAATTATGTAAATATATGTTCTTCTAAATCTGTATTCTTTACCTGTATTTATTTAAATGGCTTTGAATGCCTTAAAACCAGAATGAAATTATTCTAGAAATATACCTGTCAACTGGATAGCTGTTAAGGAGATAAATGCTGTGATTTTCCACAGATCAGCCAGGGTGCATACACCTAGTACAGTTAGGAAGATACTATCAGGGGTTTTTTTTAACAGTCACTTTAATCACAACACTAATTTTGCTAGCTTTGTAATGAAGCACCTAGCTGACAGGGTGCATAAAAATTAATTAAAACCCTGTTGAAAACCACTGGAGTCCCACAGCAGCCTGATATGGCTACAAGGAGCACAGAAACTCCTGCAGCATTTCTTTAACCATTTGCATCTGTTGACACTGTATTTATCCACATACTTTTAATGCAAGCAGTGACTGCTCAAAAGCAAATGAAGATTGCAGAATTGTTCAGAATCTTCTTTTCAATGAAGTCAGTAATAAAATAGGCCCACCAAAAGGAAATGCAAAATCTAGTACGTTCAAGTTTTCTCCTATATGATCTGGACAACTTCCACAGTCTTGGGTGGGTTTTTCACATTTGGTCTTGGGTTTTAATTTGGTTTTTTTTTAGGTTTTCTGGGGTTTTTGTTTCATTTTGTTTTTTAGTTAAAAGGAAGTTGTGCATGTTTTTAGACAATGTAAAGTTTTATTTCTCTTTTGGAAAGCAGTGGGGCAGGTTAGCTTGTGCATCTCCATCAGGACAGTATGGCACCTGTCCATGGAGCACATGTCACTCAGCAGGATGACCTCCAACTGCCCCCACTTTGAGTACGGAGCTGTACTCCACATTTCACATCCAGATCAGCATTTCAGGATGAAACCATGAACAATAGTATGTGGGCAGCATTAAAGAAAAAAGCAGTCAAAATATGTTCCCTTTTATGCAGATTAAGAGCAGGCCTCACTTTCCTGGCATGTTCACCAGTGTGCTCCTCATTTGGACAAAGTCTGACTGTGCTTGTTTCACAGAATTATAGCTTTCTATAATTGTACAGCTTTGAAGATTGAGCCTGGGTAGAATCAAGATATAATAAAACTGTGGCATAAATCTAAAAATCAATTAAAACGTAAGACTAGGTTGGCAAACATGCAAATGTCACAAAGCTAGCAACAGCATGTTTGTCACCAGTACATTACTATTCTTTGAGCTGTTTAGAAAGGTAAAGTTAAATCTTGGAACTGAGCCACAGGACTTGTGCTGTTTGTAAAAGCCTGAAATTATAGCATTCTTCTGCTCTTCCATAAAATCAGCACTGTACATAAAGGAATGTTTCTATATTGCATAAGCATATTGCTGTGCTTGCAGGGTGCTCCTTTATCTTGCACAGAGTCAAAAGATCTGTGAAGAGGCAGCAGCTTCCAAAACTCTACCACCTCTTTTTTTTAATGGAAAAGATATATATTGTTCTTCTGCCAAACCTTTAAGCTTTGTGATTTATATACTTCATATCCTAGTGATATGGTTTCAATTGGAATTTTTTTGAAGTTTTTGGAGCATGCAAGGAGAATTTAAAAAAATACATAGGGTTTAGCAATTAGCTGAATCCATCCTTCATTAATCTGCCATTGACAGCAGAATGAACGCTGCTCTCATTGCTTTAATGCATGCACTGGGAGCACAGTTTTCCTAACTCTTGCTGTAGCCCTGGACAGTCTCCAGATGCCCCACACTCCACAGTTAGACGCAGCTTTGCTAATCCCAGACCCAGCAATGTTGACTATGACAGAAAGAGATCTCTCTTTGCTACGTCATTGCAGGTGGATGTGTAAATAAATACATATTTTTATGTTTATCTCTATAAATCTCTATTAAGTCTACACAGGACTGTTTGTATATGTGCATATATAGATTAAAACATATATACACACACACAGAGAAATAATTGCTTGCACGTTTGTCTCTTTTTTTTTTCATTTACCCTTTAAAAACACCAAGAAAATATTCTTCATTTCCAGAAAATCAGGTTTTGACTTTTTCTAACAGAATTGCTAGCCCTTATATGTTTCATCCCAAGATTTCATTACACGGTCCCCAAGTTCTCTTTGGTTGGGTTGTAGTGGTCCTTGGTTAATGCCATGGCCTATGATCTCTGATCCCTTGGTAAAAATTCAGGCAACCATTGCTCTCCAAGTTCACTGCAAATGGCACAACCACATCTCCTTTGCTCTACGCCTCCTTCACAGCTGGCACAGAAGGAAGATAATGCAGTGTTTGATTTGTGTGAGTTGCAGATGCTTGACCTGCTCCAAGCCCAGGTTTTACAGTAAAGCTAGCAGCTGAGGACACCGATGGACAGCTGGTGCCCAGTTTTGTTTGAATGTTTGCTCTCCCGTAAGGGTACATTTTCCGCTCTAAGTTTAAAGACCGTGTTTGTGAATTATTTCCATCAGCCTTTCCTTCCAGGAAATAGGTCAACATTTCACCTTTTCCCTTTACACTGACTTTACCCCTGCAGACGAATTCATAACTGCACCTTTTTAATATCCGCTGAACTTCTTCTGTCACCTGAAGACAGAAAAAAAATAACTATTAGTTTTTCCTGTTCATATAAGGTTAGTCCTAGAACTGTCCACCCTTCCTTATTTTACTTCTCTGTCATGAAATACACTTAAGCAGAATGAATTAGCATCTGCTGTTGCTCTTGGGCTCACTTAGAATTTTCTTAAGGAATTAAAAATCACTGACCGAACTGGAATCTGAGAAGCACAACTTCTGGTCTTGAGCTGAATAATTACACAGACAGATTAAGCTCAGTCCAACAGAAATGTGTACCCAAATTGTCCACTATTGTAAGCTGGATCAGTTCCAGTGACGTTAATTTACTCCAGAAGAACTTTTGATCCCTGGAGACTAGACAGGTATTTTGTCTGAAGACTGCAAGAGTTCATTGAAATTTGAGAGGTGCAGCATAGCTTCTAGCCAAGCTCTGGTAGAACAACAACGTTCTCTGTCTGTGTAGGCTCTCTGATTGCAAGTATCCATGGAATTTTTAAAGCTACATAAAATGCAGCAGGATACAAATGGACACAGATACTTTCCTTGTAGTCTTTATTCAGGACTTATATAGCCCAAGGACTGGCTCACACATTGTTGGCATTCCTAGGCTTGCCTCCAACTGTGTGCAATGCAGCAGAGAACTGTTTCTTCTGATGGGAAATGTTTTATTTGAGGTTTTCGTTGCCACCAAGTAATGAAGCATATATAATGGAAAGCAAGTATACCTCTGATGCTTGAATCATCTGGAGAATGTTGCTTTTTTAATAAGAACCACAAGATCAAGTGAGGCTGTGTTTTCTAAGTGGTCTTGAAAATGTAACCACAGATAGAACAGGAGGTATATAAAGTTTGCAAAATTGTCTCCGAATGCACTCACCTGAATTTTTCCCTGTACACCAGTACTATCCATCCGGCTGGCAACATTTACAGTGTTTCCCCAAATATCATACTGTGGTCTTCTGGCTCCAATTACTCCAGCCACTACTGGCCCGACATTAATACCTAAAATCAAAACAATTACTTTGATTTCAAACACTATAGCATATTAGCCAAGGGAAAGATGAATCCTGCAAAATAGATATAACAAAAGTACCTTAGAATGTTTCAGGTCATAGAACATAATGTATGTTAAATTAATTCCAATTGGACTTCTGTAGTTGTAAAAGGTTTAGAAACAAAATAAAGACATACACAGAGACATCTATTGAAAATGCAATATGACAGACAACACAAAACTTTGGCGTATCTGTGGACTATTTTTTTTTTGTTCGTTTTAAGAAAAGAAGAAAAACAATGGTAGTGGAGAGTTTAGCCGTAGAACAATTCAGGACAAACTGTTAAAGATCTGTAATGATTTGCTATGACTTCTATGGCGATTGCTCATTTAAAGCTTTTTAACAGAGGTTGTCCAAGCAGAACAGAAATACTGGCCTGGAAGACATGAGGAATAGGGTAAGAGATGTGTGTCACACTGCTTATCAGTAAGGGACAGCTCAGATCAGGGAGACACTGGAAAGACAAGAGTATGTGAAAATGGCTCAAGAATAATTTTGTGGAAACCACAGGGCTTGATTCTACATTTCTGACTGTTTTTGACACATGCTTTGGAAGAAAAAAGAAGATACTCCTTCTTCTGAGTGCTCTGAGGAGCTGCAGATGCTAAACCCTGCATGAGGTTCTCTGCAAGGGCTTTCCCAGGTGAGTTATGCAGAAGAATGGAGGTTAGATATTTGTCTTCTTCCCCTTTGTGAACCTGGAAAGACCAGTTATAACAGATTTCAAAGAGATTTTTGGGTTTGTAATTATTAGGATGTACAGGAGGGCGAAGATGTATAACTCTCCTATTGCTACTCTTGATGTTTTTGGACTTTCTCAATCTGCTGCTGCTATCAACTTCACTTTTCCCTTTGTCCAACCCATTCTCACAGTTCAGCCATAAAAATATATATAGAAAAAGTGGAGAAAACTATCTGCATTACAATATGCAATGAAAAGAGAACAGCAGTGGAAGTACCATTGGAGAGCAGCAAGATGCAGGGAAGGAAGGGAAGAAGAGAACTTGCTCTGTAAGAAGGCCGGGAGAAAGTACTCTAACTTGTATGAAATGTAATAACATGTAAAGGTTAAATAACAATAAATAACATAGGAAAGATTGTGTTGTGAAGACCAGAGGATACAATTTGTTGGAGAAAGCATTTGTTGGTTGAGGTGATCTGGCATCTGTGGACAAAAAGCTCCCATCACACTTTTACTGTCAACAAAGCTTTTGCAGATGCAACTTAACTTGATAGCTAAAAAGTCAGATCTAGTTTTCAGCAGTTAAAAATGCAAAGCAGTGCAAGCGACAAGATTAGGTACACTAATCATATTGTATAAAATTATTGGTGCGGTTTCCTTTTAGGGATGTGTAGATTAAGTAAACACACTGGAATTGGAGACAGTTATAACTCTTAATACTGATGTTCACCATCCAGCCTGCTGACCTTCTACATGGATGTGACTCTCCCCTTAAAGGAGGCTCTTCAATTTTAATTATGAATGTAGGACAGGTAAACTTTTGCAGACAGCATAGGGAAAGCCAATGAATAACAATGTTCTGTTTGTGTGATAATTGCAGAAACGTGACTTACCAACTCGTAGAACAAAGTCGTTGTAAGACTGATAGTTGATTTCATCAAGAACGTCAAACATCTCTATTGCAAAATCTGCCAGTGTACTCAGATGGGAATAAATTGATTTTTTAGCCTAGAAACAAAGTAGTATTGCACATAAGATTTGTATGGTACTGAGAGGCAGGTGAAATATCAAAATGAAAAACAATGAAAGCCATCAGAATGGATGGCTTAGGAAAAGAATCTAACCCATTTTGTTGTCTGTGAAAATAAACATTTGATGGTGGTTAAAGCCCATGCATTCTTTTCTCAAGTACTGAATTCTGTTTTTTTTTTTCTTCTTCTCTCTTTTTGATTTCTGGGAAGAATGGAAAGCAAAGTTCCCGTGGTAAAGTGGTTCTGTTGCTAGAGAGCTGCAGATGTTTGTTGTGAGTGTAGCAGGGAATATAACCTGCTTTCTTATAAAATTGCTTTGCCTGATGATTATTAATAACTATAGCTTCTGCCCTCTTCTCCCTTTGGGGTTTTTGCTAGCTCCATGGGGTACATGCTGTTCTCATTGACAAAATTCCTCTTAGGTTTAATCCTCTGAGATGCAGAACACCCCTATTTTCTTTCCTTCCAGGAAAGCTGAAGTGAGTTGTTATAAAATGCATCTAAATGAACTAAAGCAAAAGCAGAAGGGATCAAATGAAATGCTGAAGTATCAACTAAACATGAGAAAATAATTTTTACAACTTCATTCTAATTAAACTGTGGAAATAATTTGCAGAGGAAGAAATATTTGCTACAAGTAGTAAATTTACAAGTATATTTAAATATACTTTAAATATACAAGTATATTTTCCTGTAGTTCTAGAATTTCTTAAGTAGCATATCATGGGAAAGTGGAAAAAAAAGGTTTGCATGTTTGCCGTGTAACCCATGCCCTTCCTCCAGGATCCACCTGGAACTAGTTAAAGACAGGTTACTAGAATAGGCCTTTGATCTGACTCACTATTGTTGCTCTTATGTTGTGCTCTTATTTGAATAATAAATACGAAATCTTGAACAGATTCACAAAGTGAAAGTGGGCTAAAGGTAGGATATGGTGAAAGAAATGCAGGGTCAGTGGCAGTCTAGCTTCAGTAGGGTGTTGCACAACAGGGCTGTGGCAGCTGGCATGAGATAAGAGCTTGAGTTTTTGTCATGATAGTGAGATTGTATAAATGGAGTACTTGACAGTGGCTGAGAAACAGATAGCTATTTGCTTTATTCAGCTTAGTTTGAAAGCATTCCTTCATGTGGCTGAGAAACTTACAAAAATTAGAAAATAATGGTAAAAAAGCTATGAAAATCATTCTTGGATCAGTTCCAGTTTTTAGAAAGGATAATTTTATTTACCCTCCTGGCATTCTGCTTCTTGCAATGTGAAATAGCTCTACTCTTTTCCAGCCTCATCAAGACAAAGGAAGAACAAGTTTAAAGATCTGATGGCTACACTTACAACAGAGAAAGAGAAAAATATTGAATGTCTGGAGATGTGTATAATTCTATTTAATCCTCTAATCTTTATATTTCTTATCCTTCAATTTTTTTGCTGCCTGATGAATGCCCTGATTTCCTGCAATGCCTCTCAGGGTTGCGGAAGAGAGGACTGGTGACAAATACTGGATGTGCTGCAGGTGATTGATGACTCTCAAAAGGCTTACTGGCAAACTCATTTGAACCTGCACTGGAGATCACCACAAAGTTAGGACCCTAGTGAAGTCAGGACCCTGGTGAAATCACAGACATAATTTCAAACAATAAACTTACATTGGGCAAAAGTTCTACAAAGAGCTCGGTTTGTGTGCTGCTCTGATGATGTAACTGGCAAGCAATTATTTATTTAAACATCAGAGGAATAGTTACTGGAAAGACTGCCCAAAACATCACAGCAAAACCCCTCTGACAGAGGCAATACACATTTACTATAGTCACTGGCTGAAGTTAAGCTGCAGAAACAGCAGTCCTGTAAAATACAGGATTAAAATATTAAACTTCATCAGGGTACTGAGTTCTTATGTGTGTGAATATCCTCAGTTAAGAACACAGTTAACCCCAGCCACTGTTTTCTGCTTATGACCAAATCCTAGTGTGAAATTGGTGGCTCACAATCAGAAGATATTCTGATGAAGTTGGGACACCACTGGCAGAGGGTAGACCAGAAGCACTCGAGTCTCTCATGGCTCTCCATGGCCACATATGAGTTTGTAGGGCAGCCCAGAGACTGTGTCACAGCTGGCAGTGATTGTCTGTGCATGACAGGCTACCCAGGATCATCGGACTTCTAATACATAGCTGCATGATGAAGACCTAGTGGGAAACTGCGAAGAGGATGTGAAGAATTTCTACTTTTTTCCACCACACAAGCAGTGGGAGGAGATCACAGAAAAGCTGAAACCCCAACTTAAAGTAGAAAACATTGGCTGTTTTGTACAAGATCTTTAGGTTTTATGGAATACAGAATGCTAAATAAATTCTACCTGTACAGAAAAGATCAAAATTTGCCCCAACATTTCAGAGAAAGACAGAGTTCTGTACAAGACCTTCTGCTGTGATTTAGAATGCATTACTATCATAAGCTCAGAGTCGTATCTTCAGTACTGGGTTAACTCAGCTGACCCTTCAGTTTGCAACTATAAAATACAGGAGATAAACATGTTTAGGTTTTGGAACATATGCTGCCCAAGTTACCCAATAACACACTTGTTTTGAGGATTATAGTTCAAAGAGCATTTATAGCAGACACACAGGTATGCCGTTGCCTGTTTGCCTGAGATCACACTGAACAAAACAGGGTTTTTTTTTTTTCTCAGGACCCAGAAGTCAAACATTTTGGCATAAACAGAGTTTAAAAAAAATAAAACTTTTTGTAGTGTGTACATTTCTAGGAATGATAGCATCAGTTGTAAATACCCTGCAGACCAGAAAATTAGCTGCATGTTATATACTCCAACATGATTCTAAGAGTTTATTTCAATGTGGCCTTGCTTTTATTTACTTAACAAGGATATTTGTTGCTAGAAAGTTCACAGGCCATCTTCTGGCCCTTTTTTGCTTTTCATGGTGGGGTTTGGGAGAGGCTATTCGTTTTAATTGTAGGTTGCACCCAGATTTCAATATAAAAAAAGTAAAAAGTCTCCCATTGTGATTGATATTCCTGAGTTAGTTTTGAGCAATTCATTATACCTGGAGTCTGCCCTTCCCTGCATCTGACAAGGTCACCTAAGACACTGTGTTTAAAACACTACCACTCTGACTTAGGAGCGTTGAACACCAATTTTCAGAAAATCCAGAGCTGCAGACAATGAAATCCCAAATAAAGATACATGAGCAACTGCTAGGATAGCATTTTTTCTTTGTATTTCAGATTTCAATTGTTGTAAAGAAGTAATACAAGTTATCTATGATCACATAGAGTTAGTTGTGTTTCTGATGTTCCTCTGGAAATTGAAGGAGAAGAGTTCCTCCACAAATGACTGTCATATAAAATCTTCTTACCTTAGTTCCCGAAGTAGGTACGAGTCCCACAGCTGCCATATATGTACTTCCAATTGTCTTGATCTTTTCTATGTCCTTATAACATTCTTTGTCCATAAGCTTTGTTTAAAACATAAAACTGTTAAATATTACATAATATTTTAGACAAGCATCCATAGTTATCAGGTAATATGTGCAAGCTGATTAAACCATATTATTTTTGGTAAGTTGAGGCTTGCCAACTTTGAGGTCATTATAAAAACTAGTGTTAACTCGTATTTGAATACTCTTCCTATATTAGAGGAATCTGAGGTCAGACTCACATGCCTAAAAGTACAATCTGGGCACTTTGGAGAAGCCTAGTGGACAGCAACTACAATTATATACGAAGTTTACAGTACTGGTTTTTTTAGGCATTTCAGGATATGCAGAGTTGCTACAGATAATCTCTGATGATAGTAATTTGGTAAAACTAATATAGTCAAAAGACGTTTAGACCTTACCTCATCAAAATCAGCAATGATTTCATTCAACAGACGTAAACATTCCACTCCCATATTATTGCCATCCAATTCGATGTAGAAATCATTGAAATTTGGGATGGAAGCAAACATCACTCCTACTTGTGAATATGACTGGTAATAAAGGTCCTGCAGTTCATGAGCATATACAATTTTTATTTTAAAAGATTAATCTAAACCAAACATCATTATTACAATATCTATTGTACTGGTAAGCAATAGCTAGGACAAAAGCCATCACTTTTGCTAGAGAGAAAGCCTGCCTTATTAAAAACACATTGAAAGATCTCTCCACTCAAACAACACAAAAGAAAATTAACATCTAAGTTATTAAAACCATTTAAAACTACTTAGTATTTTTCTCTGCTTAGACACTGAAGAAATGAGTACAAATTTGTAGACAGTCTTAACAGCTGTAGAACTTCTATTGTATGAGAAATATAATGGCATTTTCTCAATTTTGTTTTATAACTAAAATAGGAGACAAAACAATTTTATCCTGAAGCACAAAACCAACCTTGCTCCTTCATGTCTTTCCCTTTGTTGCAGAGTTCTTTATTCAACATTAACAATTTAATCCTGTTCTGCATGGTAAGGCTTCTGCTTAAGAATTCATAGAGCTCGCAAAAAGTAAAACTACTTTTCTGTGGTTCAAATGCATTAATTCAAACTCTCAAGAGTAGTATCATGGCCATTACAGCTAGTCCAGTGCTGCAGGTATTGCAGCTGCACTGGAAGGACTCTGGTACGGGCTTCCTGAACCACTTTATTTAATCACTGCAGCCTGTCTTCCTTGAGTGTGTACTATTTTTTAACTTTAAATGGATGGGTTTGGTAATGGCAGCGTATTTCCAGAACTAGAGTGGTTCTCATGGAAGTGCCTAGCAGTTTGTACACTTTACACTCAGAACCAAACTGAGCTCATGAAATACTGTGATAAATCACAATTTTCTAAATTGATGAAAAAAATTAATTAGTTACTTGCATGCAGACACTTGGTTGCACTGACATTGAATGACACAACATTCCCTATCCTTTTTATTATTAGTATTCTTCAGAGGAGGAAGACACTACAGCAAAATAAATAATCCCAGTCTAATTCTTTAACACAAGTTTTTACAAAACTATTCCTTTTAACAGGAATGAAATTTTATAGGTCCAAGCCTTTCTTGAAAACATACAGTTGAAAGGTGACCCAAGCTACACAGGGTCACACCCATACAACATCACTACGCATTTGAATTGTATCTTGGTTTACCATATTTCTGGGATTAGACATAAGAAAGTGCTGTGCAACATGTGCTGGCAACAGGTTGAAGAGAATTCTTTTATTATCCAGCTTGACTCTCTCCATATCATCTCTCTCTTCTTCTGCCTGTGGCGATACAGGAAAAGAAAAATTGTTCAAAAAGCAAAAAAACTTACTGAAGCTATCAAAAAGCTTCTGTTAATTCACCCTTTGAAATTAAACTGAGCAAAATAATGCCTGCAAAGTAGAGTGGGAACAGTTCTATACCATGCTTTTAGATAGGAGCAAAATCCTGCTTTAAGTCCTTAGAAATTCAAGTTAAAGTCTCTGGGCTGATCAGCTTGATCAGCTAAGTGTATTGGTGTCTTCTGTAGTTCTCTGTTCATTTAAATAGGCCCTTGATATTTTACAGAGTAAAGAGCTAGAATAATCCCACTTAAGTCACATTGGCTTTGGAGGCCAATTACTTCCCAGGTAGGTGGAGACAGTGACAGCAGTATTTGATCCACCCTTCAAAAAAGAGAAGCCTGGAGAATCACCAGTGTTTAAAGCAAACCTATGTCATTTTGCAGTAAAATGGTAACAGACCTGGTAGGACAGTAACTTCAACAGTGAAAAATAGCATTTTCTATTCTATTATTCTATTTTAAAATAGAATGTCCCTAAGAATGATATGCAATTTAAAAATATTTTAATATAAAAAATAATTAGCATTTCTAGAGTTGGTTTTAATTACTCTGGTATTTGTCATGAAAATATCATCTGTGCACAACAGAAACAGAATTTCTATCATTCATGTGAATTACAGCATTCAGACAGAATGCCTAGGAGTTAACACAGCTGAGGTCCTTCAACCCAAGATATTGGTAACATATCACAAGTGTCTTGACTCCCAGGAGTTAGAGGGAGTCATACATTAGAAACAATTATAAAAATCAGACCCCTTATTGGAAAAATACTGAACATCTAGGGATCTCATTTGGGACTCTTAGGTTTGGAAATTCCAGCTTAGTTCTTGCTAGACTCTTCTCTGCAATTTCCTTCTTCTTGTCAGAGCGACTTTTGGCCCCACATTCTGATTTCAATTAGTAAACATTTGATCAGTAGCTTATAATTCACCCCATAGAAATCACAGCTCTTCAATCACACTCACAAAATCGTAACACAAATATTCAGCCGTGATCTCAATATGATTTTGTTTATCTAGTCACAGACAGCAGAAGCCTGGAAGGACAAATTCTCAGGCATTATTGAGAAACTACAATCACGTAAACCACTGAAGAATCTGCTCTAATCTTTCTTGGTGTCCCTTTTGTATCTAGAATTCGCTATCCTGATCTGTTACAAAGTCCACATACTTTTCTCACTATCTGTCTAAGTAGGAGAAAACTAGTCACCTTTTGCCTTTGTACAGTCTTACAATATTCTTTTAATGTGATTATTTTTCTGGAAGCTAATTTTTGCTTTCTATGACAAAACTTAGGAAACAACCTTTTTATTCAAATCACAGTCTGCTTTGCCTTGCAGTTAACTTCTGTATTCTTAAATTTCTTTACAAGTAGAATGCTGAAAGAACACTAGTTTTATAAATATAAATTATTCAGGAATAATTTCCTTTTGAAATAAATACTAAGATCTTCCTCTAATTTGTGTAATAATAATAATCAGAATTTATTCCAGAGGTGAAATATCAGTAAAAGTTAAACAGCAGTTAAGCTCTGCAAGAAATACACCTGAAATTTTTATCCTAAGCAAGTAGCTATTTCCTGTCTGTGAATTTTTTTCCTGACACTTTTTTTACTGTTTAAATGTCATATGCTGTTTTCTTAAAATATCCATAATCTATTTTGGTGGTATAACTCTCTCTCTGACTTATTGTTGTCTATAAACAGGTGTAATGGGCTCTTGCATTTAGTCTGACTGTTGGAATGCAAATGTTCTAATAGTAAAAATAAAAAGCTTTTTCCAGCTGAAAATACAAACCAAGCTTAAAACTCCACTTTTTACATCATATTGGAATATGCAAAATTTTACTCTGATGACAGCAAAGAGATTTGCAAACTGAATTCATGCTCTAAATAACAAAATCCATTTTGGGCTAGCTCATTTTCTCTATTTTTTAAGTAAGTTTTTTGTTACTTTCTTCCAAGGAACATTTAAGCTTCTCAGTTATGCTCCCAATACAATATGGGGCAGAAGAGCAGCCTAAAGAACAATACACCTTTGGGCAAGGGTGTAGAGATTTCTGGACAAGTCAAAGTAATCAAGTAGGGGTAGGTAAGTGAAGTAATCACTTTTATGCATTCCATGAACATTGGAGTTGCTCGATCACTGTCAGCTGCTGTTCCTTTCTGATCTGGAAATGTGTGATCAGATTCCTCTGCTTTGGCCAGTTGTGGACCAAAGCGTTCATTTTGGAAGACATGTTTGAGAAGAATATTCAGCAATATGTAGTGTTTCCTAGCATTGTGTCTGAATCACAACAAAGATTTCAGAGCAAGGCACAGCTCAAGGACAAAGCTGCCAGCACTGAAGCAGATCCTTGTGGCTTTGGTCATGTTGCTGGACTTCTGTCTGGCCTTTGACATACAGAAATAAAAGAAAAATCTAATATATCAACATGAAATAAATGAGAAAGTACACTCTAGCCTGTTGCATTTTGGATTTTTCTTTCTGATGGAACTTTGAGGTATGTGATGGGTTTTCTCCTCCTTTCTGTCTCACTCAACATGGTCATGAAACCACTGGGAGATAAATGTCAGTGACACTACTGTGTGTGTGCAAGTATGGATGTGAAAATGTTCACAATGATGGGACCACAGACGTGACTAAAAGGCTGACAACTGAGCTCTCGAGTGAAGAGCTAGTGCTTTCAACCAAATGAAAAGTCATTACTGAAGGGGTTGTAAAATCCTCTAATAGCAGGGAAAGGCATCAAGGATGTCACCATTGCTAAGAAACGCAGCAGAACGCAACATTTCCAACATACCTAGCAAGCACCTCTTTAGATGCAAAACTGTTAACTAGAATTTTAACTCTGCTGCCAGAAATGAGATTAAAGCCACTAAGGTCATGGAAGGTCCTAAAATAATACCATGGTGGGTAATGGTAGCAAACCCTGAATAGAGACAAATTATGTAAACAGCAGAACGAGGTCAAGTGCACTTAGCTTTTGGTGCTCTGGCCTATTTCAGGTCAGACACTTCCAGCCAACAGGGAGAGAGGAGTGGTGTCTCTCCCTGTGATTCAGGAGGACATTTGCACTAGCAATGCCTATGTGCAGTGCCATGAAGAATAAGCGGTGTTAGCTCTGCCTGACTCAGTGTCCTGGTTTAGTGGGACAGAATTTTAGAGTCAGTTTCTGTTGAGGAAAACTGCAATTTTGTAAAGACTACAACATTGTGTTTCATGGAAATGAAGTTGATAAAAGCTTTGTAATAGGTTTCAGCTAATCCTGATATGCAGGTTGCCATAGTACTCAAGGTCTTCTGTGGTCTTGGGATAAACATGTGCAGAGGCTGGGAGGAGTGAAAACCTAGGTGACCGCAGGCTGCCCAATTAATACTATTCATACCATCAACATCACATTTACTATAAAACTGGAGAGTTTGCTGGGGATGGCCCTTCCTTTGTCTACCTCTTCGTCCTTCCTTTTTCTTTCCTCTTCATGGTAGACATCTTGAGAGGGACTTGTTCACCGTCCTAACCCTGAGGCCTACTCACCTACAATATTGGCTGAGTATAACTCTGTGTATTTTATAACTGTTATTAATATTTGTTTACTATGATTATAAATATTATTATTTTACTAAATAAATTTCTGTTTCAACTCACGAATCTCCTTTCCTTTTCCCGACACCCCTCCCCAGGTAGGGAAGAGGTATCAGGTGACAGAGCAACTGTACATACCACAACAACTAGCCCCAGACCTAGAAGCAAAACGTTCATGGAATTGACATAGCACTCTTTCTGAGCTACCTAGTTGTGTTTAAAATCAAAGTATATTAGCTTAGACCACACACTGGGTTAGTACTGCTGTATTGTTGCTGATACTTTAGCCATAGTCTCTGCATGGATTGCACCTACACCATCCAGACATACCAAATGTCTAACATACCTGCTGGGGATTTGAACTGAAGTGTACCTTTTCTGCTACTACTGCGCAGAGTGTCAGTATCCATCCTCTCACCCTGTACTGCCTAAGACAGCTCACATATATGCAGCTACTCAGGAGCTGCCTGAGGAAAGAGGAAAGATCCCTTTGTGTCTCTTGCAATGGAAGATAAGGAGTGAATGTTAGGTTAAAAAGGACTTGGTCATGTTCAGCAGAGAGGACGCTGAAACTATTCTATCACACAGCTCTATGGGGAGGAAAGTATGGATTACTGATATTTTCTGGACCCTTTTTACCTTCCTGCTTTCAGTCCTTCAGGGAAATGCAGTGAAAACTGCCTTTCCTTCTTGTGACTCATGAACTCCTAGTGCCTTCTCTTTGAGCAGCTGAGATAAAAGGATATGTAGGCATCATCCCTTTCCCAGGCAAAACAGACACTGAGAAGGGAGAAGGAGTATTTGGGGCTGAAGAAAGAAGATTAAAATAGCAGAGCTCACAGGTATTTACATTCCTGGTGGAAATATTATCCAGACAGCTAAATAGTATCCAAACCCTCATCTATTTGCCCTTATTCCTATTGGTTAATTAAGGAAAGCTGCCAGCATGGTATTTATGCAATAGCTGCTGGCTCAAAAACCAAGGCTCAAATTTATTGTGAAAATAAACAAGAAAGAAAATACATAGGCATGAGCAACATGATTTTTCATATTCTGCTTTTAGCTTACAACTGTTTGGTATTCGTGGCAGCTAGGTAATTTTGCAGAGCTGCAGTATTTAAAAGCAGGGTTTGTTTTGGCTTCAAAACTGGTGGCAAAATTAAAAATGTTCTTTGGTACTATGGCTTTTGACATCAATGTAATAAACAGCTATTGCATTTCACAGTTACACAGCGTCCCGCAGATTTTCCAGTGCTGGTATCTGGTTATGCATCCTCTGTCTGAGCTGTTGTATCATCTAAGCTATCAGGTGACTGTTTAATAAGCATAAAAATGCTGGAGCAGTGTCACTGACTGAAGAGTTATCACAACAAAAATCCACTGTTTCGAGACACAGCGAAAAAGCAGCCGGGCTCGGGTGCCGCAGAAACACCATCTCTGTACCTGAAGGTGGCACTAAAGCCACAGGGAAGAGACCCAGCACGCTGCTGCCTACAGGACCAGGCTTTTTAGACGATCTGCAAGCACACCTGGCAAGTCTTGCCTGCTAGCTGAAATACGTATTTCTTACAAGTGCCATGGATTCGAAGTGACAGCTGAACGATACCCTGGTATTCCTTAAAGACTGGAGCAATCAGTCATATCATTGTATTATTTTCCTCCCCTGATAAATTCTGGGTGAGTGAGCAACTCCATTTTCTGGGGGGAGATTTAGCTTCATAAATTTATTGCTTGTGTTTATTTGTCCCTTTCCCCTCCACATTTTTTAAAAATGATTTGCATAAGCAAAAGTGATTGTCAGCCACAAACAAGCAAAATGTTCCTATATTTGCTATTCACAGCTATTGTCATATGAGGTACATAGAGTTACTCATCAATATTATGTAGAAAATTAAATTCTCCTCCCACTGCTTGTTCAAAAATACCTCAAACAAAACAGATACTTTCTGGAAATACTGTGATATTCAGAAAGTTTAAATATGGTATAGAAAAAACATAGCAAAATCAACAAGAACCTGTAACACCACTGACATGTGAACAGTAAGTACAAATATAAATGTTTTAACAACTTATAATCAATTAGAAAAATCATTTTTTTCCACACAACATACATAAATCATAGTGTATTATCTCTGTTCTTGTTACCTAAATTAGATTAACTTTTATTGAAACTGTGCCATTTTTCTAAATCAGTTTTTCATTTTTGAAAAACTACAAGTACACATTGTACCATACTGACATATCTTTCATACAGCAGTGGCTGGCTACTGAGAGATGTGTCTCTAGCTCTAGCAGTGGTTCATGCAATTCAGTGTTTGCACAAAGAACCTGCATACACACTCTGTAAAACAGCACAAAATCTCCACAGTCCCTGTGCACTGTCAATGGTCTTTCTAAAACTTCTGACCAAGAAGATGACCAAGTTAATGCAGCATGGTTCAACGGTAAATACTACTGTGGTTGTAGAGAAGGATGACCAAGAAAGCTGTTTAACCATATACAGGGCTCCTGCAGTTCAGCAGTTACAGAAAACTGTCACTCAGCAAGGTGGTTTTTACCCTTGTTTCCTCTTAAGATTGTTAAACAATTAGTAGCTTGGAGTTTGCTAAATATTCAAAGGCAGTTTTAACATACTGATTTTTCCAATCAACAGTCTTCTCAGAGCTTTTAATACTCCAATATTTACTCTGCTAAAGAGCCTAATAAGTACAAAGATAATGTTTTTTTTTCACTTATGTATTTGAACAGATAAGCACCATAAGCACTTCTGTAACATCCATCACACAGCACTTCTGCATGTTACGTTAACTGGCGCTTTATACAATCATTTGCAACCAATACACAGAGTGGAAACCAGGACAACATTCTTTACAACATGTTTTTCCCGTTATTTATTGTACAGAGAATAGATCTTCCATGTGGAATCAAGAAGAACAAGGGTATATGCTCAGATCGTCAAAGAGGCCAAGCATCTACCCAGCACAGAGATTTCAAAGAATGATAATGTTGATCCCTAACTTCTGAATTTTCTACCTATACCGATTTCTTTTTACCTTTCTGATTATTATCATGCAAATCTCACATACAAGATGGTACCACATAAGTACCTGATTTGCAATTGAAAAGGTCTATAAATGGCATTTGATCTTCTCAGATGAACAGCAGATTTTGAAATGCTACCTGAAGATGCCACTGGACATTTGATAGGCATCCATATGTCTTAACTCCCCTTACTGCCCTTTGGGGTAAGTGCACAATGGTTTTAACAACAGTGGTAGATGGCTAGGTATTTCTGTAACACGTGGCTCCAAGAAAACATAAAAAGTTTCTATTTCTTCCTTTACTGTTGTCCTATCTGAAAGACAGATTTTGTCTTTCAGCAGGCAAGCATCCCATTACTTTCCTGTACTTCAATTTTATAACTAATCGATTGCTAATTAAAAGACAACTTAAAACTAAGAATCATTAAGCAGTACTTTCCTCAGAGATGCACAATTCACCATGCAAGTTATAGTAAATGTAACTATAAAAGACATTTAAGACGCTGGAACTCACTCTTGACCTGTTGAAAGGCCACAGAATAGCAAAACAGTATCTTCCTGCTTGCTACTCTATTTCATGGCTAGGAATAACATTCAGAAGGTCTCCTATTCGTGGATCATATGGCACTTGCATACCTCCACCATGTGCTAATCCATATAAGATAACCACTATACAGCTAGTCAGATGCTGCTCTGAGCTTCAAAGTCAGGGTTGTTTGATTTGGTTTTTTTTTTCTATCAGAAAACTATATTTGGCTCCACAGCAAGCGGAAACTATTATCTGTTTGTCCAAAACAAACTTCTGAGGCTGACAGGTACAGCACCTATCAATACCTCAGGTCATAGGACAAAAATGAAATGAAGTGATCATGTGTTGTTGACTCTGTTAAACAGCACAGAGTCCACAAATTATAGAACAAGATAAACTTAAATCATAAAGAAGGTGAACATGATCTTAGACATCAAGATAAACAAAAAATCCCAACAGAATTCAACTGTGAGGTTGAAAAATTTAAGAGCAGAAGATAGAGATAAGTAATTCCTGATTTCTCCATTCTACGTAACGCAGTAGCATCAGCGATGTGTTCAACCCATGTGTTCCAGTCTTGATCTTACACATAAAAGCAAGAACTGCGATGATTTATACAGTCCTCTTAACAACATACTTAACAGGGTGTAGGTGAGAACAGGATGTGACCTCTGTGAAGTACAAGAGTGTAAGATTTATCAGAAAGGCAACTTCAAATTCCACCAAAAAAAATTTACATCTTCTTAATCTTTCTCCCTCCCTCAGGGATCAGTGTGAAACACTTTGGAGGTAGGAATGCTGAGAGGGGTGCTGCTGAGAGGGGTGACGGGAAGTGGACATGTCCTGATGCCCTTGCTTATGGCTAATATAATTTCTACAGGTTTTGCTGTGATTAGTTAGAATAGTTAGGAAGTGTATTTAAAAAAAAAAAAATCCATGTGCTTGGTATATAAATAAATTTCTGATCTTTCTTTGGGAATGAGTTCCACAGTTTCATTGTATGATAGGGGTATAAGTATTTAGTTTTAGCAGTTTTATTTGCTGCTTTTCAGTTTAACTGAACATCAACTTATTTTCACCTCTTTTTGTATTATAAGATGAAAAAAACACATGGATTTAATTTCTTTATCTCGAGTTTATATTCCTAACAGTCAATTTCCCATGTTTGAAATTCTCTCTATTAATAATGTACCTTAGACATAAACATATGAATTCATTAATGATGTAATGTTATGAAACAACTACAAACAACAAAAAAATTCACTTCTCCAGAGCAAATGAATTTTACAGGTCTGTGGAAAGAAAGCTCTAATAAATTTTCTCCGTAAATCCCAACAGACATGAAAAATTTTGAAAGTGTATACAAGATACTAGAAAAAAAAGTCCTGTGACATACCTGCACAGCCCAGAGGTAGTCCAGACGCAGCTTCAAGTCCACTTGTCTGGAATGCAGAGCCAAAGCACAAGAAAATAGCAAAATGGCTAGTATTGGTTCATAGCCACGCATGTAAAAGGAGCCACCTCTTAAAATAAAAGGAAATAAATGGGTTATTCCAGGTTTTCTAATACCTAACACTGCATATTTTTAGTATTAGATCTTTAGTTTAGAATGTGCGGGTACCCCTAAATCACTAGCCTTTGGGCAAGGAGATGGGTGACAATAAAACTGATCACTGCATCACACTAATGGTCAACTTCTTGAGGGTTTATTGCTATATAGTGCTATATATTATTGTAATGCATGTGCATGTTTTAATTAGGAAATACAAAAACACTCAAAAGTTCAAATTAAATTGGAATTGGTTGAGGGCTGCTGAAATACAGAAATGAAGTTTTTAACTGTGTTTTTTATTTCATATTATAATTAGACTGTGGTGTGTTCAGCTGAGGTAAGTTAGCATAAAACTACAGAGTAATGTGGCAAGAGCTGCTAGTTCTCAAAAGCTGATCTCCTGTTGATGGGTATTATTAGATTCTGCAATTGCTGGGGAGAGGATGGCTTAAGTAATTTTTATGCTCTACTGAGTATATAGCCCTAAGCACCACTGAATGCTAGAGGACAGTTCACAGAGGAGTAGTCAGTGTTGTGACTGTCTATACAGAAATACCCATTGTTTTAACTTTGCAAGATACGTACCCCACTGCTTTTCTGTAACCACTGAGTTCCAGAATAACTATGTACAAAATTGTAACAAAAAGCAGGAGAATCATTTTTGGCAAGGAAGATACACGTAGAAATATTGCCAAGGTGAGAGTGCCCACTACACAGGAGAGGAAAGCATAGTGGGCTGTGTCACATGGAAGTTCATTCATTGTTTTATTTGTTCCACCAGGTGAAATGATAACTATTGAACTGCTGGAATTGGTATTCCAAACCCAAGGCATACAACCAACCTAGAAAAGACAGGAGAGGTGAGAAGGGGAGAGAGTTAAATATGAAATAAACAGAAATACAGCTGCTATGGGGGCTGACTGTAGTTAATTTCTAATTGGGAAGACATGGCCATGGAGTTCCTGTGCAGCTCACTGCTCTAATAATATCTCTCTCCTTTTCCTGTAATGCTTTACTCTGTTTTAGGTGGGAGATACATTTTGTTCATGAGATGCCAGTAAGGCCAACCAGTCTGGGCTTAGTTGAATAGTTTCCTTCTCAGTGCTCAAAACCAAGGAAGTCTCATGCCAACATATTCCTGCAAAATTGAGGAACTTCAGTAAACATTTTATGTGGCCATGTAGGTGAGAAATGTTCTTGCACAGTGGACAGAAAAAAATGTGTTTGTTTTATTGACTACATAAATTGTACCAATTTCAATTCTTCAAAAACAAAAACATTTTAATCTTTGATTGAAAAACCCAACATGAATAACTTTTCTCCACTTCAGAGCTACTTCTGCTATCATATATGATTCAAACACAAGGCCTCTTCTTAATTATCCCTGCCATTTCAGTGATCAAAGGAGTTCCATTTCCTCTCTAGACTGGGAAATAAAAATGTTTCAGTGCATTTCCTATGGGAAATTTGAGGAAATTTAACCTGGTTCTTCCAAACACAATGTCATGTACACATCTCAGAGCTGTTACCCAAGGAAGGGAGGAATTTCTGGCAAATAGTGCAAGTCCCTAGAGATCCAGTTTTAATTGCACTCCAAATTTCACCCCTTACGAACGGAGAGGGTAAGAGCATAAATGGGGAGAGTAGGATGGTAGTGTGAAATTGATTTTAACAGGCACTGCAACGTAAGTCCTGCCCTGTACTTAAGCTTCTCCTTTGAAGTGTGTTATTAGAGCTTTTTATTTCATCCTAAACACTGATAATGAAATTTTATAGCATGTCGTAAAATAACTGACAATCTGAAAGGTGATTAAGTAACATATTTTACAGCGGGTTGTAGACATTTAAAAAAATGAGACATAACAGATAAAATGTGAGTTAAACTCATAACAGCTAACATTATGAAATGAGATGAGAAAGAGTGAAGTCAAAAATCCATTTGATGTGATTTTGTTCAATATGCTTAAAAATGCTGTTTATACTAAACTCATTTGAAAACATAGGCATGAATGAGGGGTCTGTAAATTATGTACAAACCATCCAGGAAAACATAATTTGCTCTACAACTAAGAGCGAAACCTCAACGCCTAGCTCCTCTACTAGCTGAGAACCCTGTAACTCGTGGAGATGCAGGCCAGCCTGGAGGCACTGCACATCTCTATGCATTTTGGGCTTATATATGCACATATGTCTGTGTGCTATTAATTAGGGCTGTGTGCTACTCACACAGCTGATGTTCAGAAATTGACAGAAATGTCTGAATATCAGTAATACTTGGTACCTCTCAGGACACCGGAATTTGCAGACAAGGGATGCTCTGCCCATTCAGCTTATGGGAATCAGTTTGGCAGATGCTCTCAGGGCAATCCAGGGCCAAATGAACACAGAAAATGCAAAATAAGTGTCTTGGCATCTCAGTTAGCACTGTGAATTGCTTATGAAATCACTGTCTTCCTATTGGTCAGAACACATTGCCTAAATCCTGCAGAGAGGCATGATTTGAGATATTTGCCTTCTCAGCATTTCCAATTGTGTTTAGCATGCTATTTTTGTGTGGATTCTTTCCTTTGGGTACCCTAACATACTTAATTAATTAGCATTAGCAGCCAAAATGCTGAAATTGAGTGCTAGGAATTTGACAAGGCAACTAAATGCTGAATACTCAGGTGGAAGTTTAAATCCCATTTGACATTCAGGTCCACCATGTAAAACTAGCTGCTAATCTACAGTAAAATAAGCTAAATTTTCAGAAGTATTAAGCAAGTTCAGTCATACAAAAGAAGCTTCCTAGACATTAGGCGTGAATGAATCATGTAAGTAGCACAGTGTAAGCATTGCTTCTCATTATGCAATTGTGTCCATATTTTAAGATCTTGTTATCTTTTCTGATCTGTCTGACTAAAAATATCCACCTGTTATTACACAGAAATATGTTTTATAGTTTACCACATAGAAATAAATAATGTTGTTTGACAACATGCTTTGTCTGTCACAAAATATTAGCCATTGAACAAGTAAGCAAGTTGAACATTTAAAAATAGCTTTTCCATGAGGTATATGACATCAGCAGACTATGTGATACTAAGGTTTGACAGAAAAATTTCTAGAGGTGTTGACTAGGTATTATCTGTGTAATTTGCTAATAGTTTTGCCATTCCTAATTCAACACCTTGACTCAGGGCAGTGAAAGTTCAAATTATAGCAAAGGGCTTTAATTTTGAAGAAATACGCTCTGCAAGTATGAATAATAAAAAGAGTAGGAATTCGTCAGATGAGAATATTGTATGAGTTGAACAGATCCGTACCAGGTTGTTCTTTAAACAGAATGCTAAATTAAGCGACACTTGATTTAAATACTCACCACACATCCTTGAGCCACGGAGTATATTAAGATCACAATAAAAATACACAAAATGGTACGAATTTGTATTGTCAGGCACCCTGGAAAACACTAAGGATGAAAAAAAAAAGATTTATACATAAAGATTTAAAAATATTTTTTAAAGTGGGGTTGTTATTTTTTAGTAGTCTATAAAAAGAAGTGAATAAGGGATACAGAAATTTTGCCTGCACTACAAATTATGAAACAAGCATGCAGTTATTATTGTGTTCATGTATTTTAATGGTAATTGCTTTTTTGGGGATAATAAATGTGAAATTATTATCACTACACATTATTTCTCCCTATAATTAAAACTATGAAAGGTTAGTAGGATGTCTGCTCATAATGCAAATAATAGATTAGGATGGCATTTGATTTTGTTCCCAAGGGGAAAATACCCAAAGCATCTTTTGCCCTGCAAATTATCAGCTACAAATAGTGATCCAAGAGAACATACTGTGGTAACATAGAATTTTGGAGTCATATTTGTGTATTCTGCTATAATAGTCACGTTAAATGCCAGGGTAGTTTTAATTATCAGGATGCATTAAAAATATTGAATTTGTCAGAGCAGAAAGAGCAGTAGAGAACAAAAAATGTCTGATGGAATGGAGCCTTGTGAACCTCTTGCTCATTTCCATTTTTACCCTGATTGCATCACTGTGAAGTGTGAAGTGCTGCTGTAAGCATATATGAAGCCACTGACAGAAGGGAGAGTAATGATAAATCTGTCAGGCTCTAGTACTTATGCTTTTTCCAGTTAACTGATCTACTCTAGTTTCAGAGAAAACTGCTTTCCTTCTTTTCCCCTTGCATTAAAAATGTCTGGGGCATCTATTATCTACTGGGTCCATGATACGCCTTTCAGACCAGAGGACTTCTTCCAGTGACTTCAAAGGGCAAGAACCAACTCCAGGAAACAGTCAGATTTAAAGGGGGAACAACCCTGTGTCCCTTAAAAGGAGGGGGCTCAGACTTATCAAGGCTGGATTTGACTTAAGAGCAAATGGAGCAAGCAAACACCTAATTTTTGGATGAAAGTCACCAGTCCTGAAGAAAAGCTGTTCACTTCATGGGTATCACCAACATCAAAAGCATAGCTTCCAGCAGGCAGCAAAGTACCCATACAGAGAGGCTTCTGTGGCACAACAGAAATCAAGTATTGAAACTCCTCCCCTTCCTTTCATATATGCAGAAACATTTCCCCTGTATGTGTGACTACGAATTAAAAGTTTGAGATAGTTACAGGTGAATCAGCTTCAATTGGGCTGTGAAACATGAGGATACAGCAGTTTCAGAAAAAATAAAAACCATGTGTGATCTGCAAATACATTCTGGCTTCAGTATTGATTAAATCCTTGTAAATGTAAGTGGGGAACAACCAATGTAATAGCAATAGTAGATTTATATAAGCATATTATGGACCTGAGTTAATTTGCTACACCAGAAACTAGTTTATCTATTAGTCAGCATGAGTTAAAATATATTGGGATACCTGAAGCCTATAATCTTTAATAAAGCAGGAAGCATATTGCAGAACAAAACCCTCAAATTCTACAAATCCCACATTGAAAAACTGTGTCTCAAGAAAGGGGATATAGGAGTGTACAAAATTACACTGTGAAAAAAGAGAAAGACAAGTTCTACATTTCTTCATCATCATCATACAGGTCAGGTTGAAAGGGACCTCCAGGGGCCCAAACATCCTGTCTGTCTTGACCCACAGGGCCATTTCTGCAGTCTGCATCATTGAGAGGATTCTTCCTTCTCAGGGCCTGGACTTGGCATTTATCCATGCTGTATTTCATAAGATTCGTGCTGGCCCATTCTGCCAACGTATCTAGGTCTCCCTCGATGGTCATCCTGCTAGAGTGTTGGTTGTTACCCCAAAATTGGAGTCACCTGAAAACCTGACATGAGTATACTCCATGTCCTTCTCCAGGTAGTTGATAAAAATGACAGGTCCCAGGATAGACTTCTGTGGTACCCCACCTATTACTGGCTTCCAGGTAGAGAACTACCATAAACTGTTATGCTCTGAATGTAATAATCCAGATGGTTTTTTACCCATCACCAAACTGTCGACCAAACTAGAACAAAATCCTATGCATGCATGAGATGGAACATGCGTGTCTTTAGCCATATAAATAAAATACAAAATAATAATTTTGTTTAAATGAAATATATACTGCTCTGTGTCAGATACTCTGCTAATACACTATTTATGTTTCCATGAAAACAATTACTTTCCCTCTGCCAAAGGGCATTTTTTCTTAACTAAAAATTAGTGTGTGCTAATCAGTAAAGCTGATTAATTGTGTAGGTGTTTTCTCCTGATAGTTGTCTGAAAAGACTAAATTTAGATTAACCCACCACAGATGTCTTTCATCAGAAAATTAGCCTGTAGATGCTTTATTCTGATCTGGCAGACTTACTTTTGTCCTATAACAACCAAATGTCCTTCTGCATCAATACCGTTGTGAAAAACGTAATGCAAGAGAATTAATCATTACTAAAGGTTTATAAAAGGCCAAGGGTTGCATGTGCAAAACATTGTGCTTTACCACCAAAACAGCTGCTGCCTTGGCAGGAAAAGTTCTGAAAACAGAGGGGAATTTAGCAGGACTTTACACCGAGATAGCAGTCAGAGTGGAAGGGAGAACTAGTGTGCTCCATAGTCAGAAAAAAGTAGGTTAAAGCAGCTGTTCATCTGAACTGGAATGATTCGGTAGCTAGTGGTAGGTGTTCAGGGAAGATGTAGCAAAAAAGACAAAAAGCATAGCATTAATGGTACTGAACGCTACACCGCTGTAATAATTACTCATGTAAAAAGCCTACTTTCAGATGAACCATCTTTGGTTTAGAAGTGCCTAATACATTACTTAGCAATGAACTTGAAAAGCACATAGATTTCAGACTCTGTGAATCTGGGAAGCGTGTGCTGATGGCTTTATATTCCAAAGGACAAACAAAGCATAGCCATCAAAAGGAAGAACAGTCATAAAATCTTAAATCACTTACCTGTACTCGTGTGACATGTAGGTACATAATACAAGCCACTAGGAAGCATATGCAGAACACCAGGAGAACAAGAACTATGGTACTCCTAGAATCAAAACACAATAGAAGTAAAGCAATGAAACTCAGTAGCAGAAGAGAACAAACAGCACAAGGGTTCTTCTGAAATGGTATTTTGGATTAATGGTGGAGTATCTCCCACTCACCCTTGCTGTAAGAATAACCATCACAGAGGAAATTTCAGTGGAATGCACTCCTCTCAAGAATGAGAAAGCAACAAATTATCTTGAATATGGTGCCCACTCTTGACCTCAGCAAGAAGATCAGAGCACCTCAAAAATTCAACTGTATGGTGTATCAGGAGAGACACTTTCTAAGGCTAATGTAGAATATTCAGCCTGATGACTCTTTTAAGTGGAGTGTGTAACCCAATTAGTTGACCTTGGCAGCTGTGTAACAGTTACCAGATGCTTTTCCCTTCTAATTTCTCCTTCTCAAAGATTCAGAAATCAGAGGTCAGTCAACTCTGTCACTTATCAATTCAAACAAAATCAGACAAGACTGCAATCTCTTCTTCCAATGAAACAGATCAGCTCCCTTCTTCTGAGTCTTCCTCAATGGTTAGAAAAATCTTAGGTTTCACATAGATGCTGCAATATTTATTTTAATTCTTAATCTTCTCTCTCCTGATCTTTCAAAATAGGCTTGTTCTTCATGAGAAGAGGGGTGCAGACCAAGAAGATCTCTGCTCGAGAAAACCTATGTTATTGGAACAGTACCTTATGGATATGAGCAAGCTGGCAAAAATTAGTCCACCTGATGCTTTGATTTATGCTCAGAGACAGCCTGGCCCCAAGCCAGCCATGGAACCAGGGCTGTATGACAGCAGCATATCATGATCTTGACACATTTTTTCCTAGTTTTGTGAGAACAACTCAACCACATGTGAGCCATGGCTGCAGGAATGTATGTATCTATGCCCTTGACCATCACTGGGGAAAGACTGCCTATATAGGGTTTCTAACAGTAGAAGAGTGTAATACTTCTGCTGTAGAATTTCTCAGTATTTGGCTTTGCTTTTTAAATTCATGTAACAATTCCCACCAATACACAAACAGAGAAAATTCTGTGGTGGTGTATGTGTATCTAGAATGGAAAGGTGCTGTCAGTGTGGATTCTGAATATAAATATTAATAGTCAGCAGACACTCCTGTGCTTTTAAAGAATTGGCTTGTGTTCAGGATGGTTGTATGCTAGAAAAAAAATTCAGGGGACATGATTACAACAGCATCTTCTAAGGCCTCAACAGCCAAAAACTGATACTAATGCTAGGAACCTGACAGAGATTTGGGCTGGCATCAGTAACAAAGGGCTACACTGTTTGCTTAAAATGAAAACAGCATATCAGAAAGCTTCATCATCAGGGTTTTAGTGGCAATGCTGCATGTGTGTCTCCATAACTGGACAGCTAAAATTGGCAGGAACATAGCCTTATTTTCACCATCTCCATTGTGGGATAAAATATGTCTTTAGCTGAGAAAATGTTTTGCTCAGATGATCAGAGGAATTGGGAGAATGTCAAGCCCATTACTTTCTGTGTATGCATGCAGCAACTAACTTTCCTACAGCATTTCCATGTCTCTAGATTTTGAACCTCCTCCTTGGAATATTGTGATAAGTGTCAAACATCATTGTTACCACTTCTCCCATTACAGTAACACATTACACTTCTTGTCTTGGCTTTTGCATTCTCTTGTCATACTTATTAATACTTCTAAATCCTAAATTTGAGGCAATCTAAAAAGCAACTTAAAGCACCAAGTTCTGTGGAGAGGAGAAATTTTCCAATGCATCCAAAGTTTTAGTCTAGCTCAGGTTTGCATCTGTGTCAAAGCAAGGGAAGAGCCTGAGAAGACTAGTAATTTGGTTGTATGAAGCCACCACCAAGAGACACTGGAAGAGAGAACTTACAACCATTCAGTAGGCGGCTTTTCTAACTAACCCAGTGATGAACCAGACCATTTTCATGGCCTTCAGTGGTCATGTTCTGCTGGAGGCTGTGTGTCTGTCAGATAAGAGCTTAAACTGAATCTCTGTCCTGCTGACTTTTTAAGTGACAGTAGGTTTTGGAAAGGTTACCAGCTATCATACCATACGATTCTTAGAAATTAATTCTAGTTTCAACTACACTAATACGCTTTGTCTCTCCTTGTTCTAAATTCCCATGAACTGTAGCTGGGCTTTACTTCAGAAGTAGGTGAAAGAGTTCTTAACTATGATCCAGTTAGTCAGCAGAGGTCATTAGTCTGGAGTTTTGTAAGTGACTTTGAATTCTTCAGATGAAAGATTATATGATGAATTTAAATTATGATGATGATCATTATTACAGTAAAAAGATGTTTCTCAGACTTTCAATTTCAATCTTGAACACAATTATATCTACTTATTATAATACCTAGATTTGAAAGTGATGTCTAATTATTTTTTTTTATTTAGTAAGCATTCATATAAAATTGACAAAATCTGAAGTAACCGCTAAACTATATCACTCAACAGTAGGCATAAGACACTTCCCGAATACATCATGAGTATTTGGTTATTCCTGCTTTAGTGCAGCCAAGGTCTGACTGTGATTTATGTGGGAATGGCCAAAATACGCACTAGGTAGTTTGTGTAGTAATAGCATTGATACCAAAAACCTCAAAGCAGGTTATGAATTTAGGTTGAAAATCTGGATGGATACTTCAGTACTTAGATCCCATTAAGCTCTATAAAGTTTTATCTAAGTTGTTACCTTCAGTACCTCTTCCAAAGCCAGCACAAATACATTTAGAAAAAGCTGCAGTAGCATCTTTGTTTGTCATAGAGAAATGCTCTAAATAAGTTTAGCAGATTTCAGTGGTTTTATCTTCTAAGTGTACTCTTCTACCAAAAAATTTAAAAAAAAAGAGAGAGAACAAGGAAGAAATTGTTTTAAATAAGATAGTAATATGTGTACAAATGGAAGAGATAACAGACTGAGGGTATACCAACAAAGAATCTCCTGTTTGAGAAAATACAGACCTGGGTGCTGATTCCCATTCCAAAGACATTAATGTTTTGACCTGTGCAGGATGCTTGAACATATTCCACTTTGAATTATAATGGCAAAAGACAGAAACTTACTGTGGTATTATTAGAAGGTAGACAAGGCCAAATAAGGCAGCTAGAATTAGTGAGAGAACTACAGCACTGGTGAAATACTCATCCTGAAGCTGGTGGTACTGTTGAAGAAAGGAAGAAATGAAGACAGTGACCATTTTGTATATAACGAGCCAACCATGCTTGTCCATTCTCAGTACTGTAGCCTAAAATATAACAAGCCTCTACCTACTGTACAAACATACAAATAATCATTGCTTAATTCACATGGAAAAAATGAAAACAAAAAGAAAAACAAAAAGATGAGGGAAATCTACACAAAATTTTCTTGACAGCCTTCTGTTTCAGCTGCTCCTGCTGGACTAGCTTTTTAGTGGTGTTCACTCTGCAACTAAGTCAAATCTGGATTAGGCTCAGATGTAAGTTTACTTAGTCACTCCCTGCTCTGCACTTATTCAACACAAAAAAAGGCCAAAAATTCTTGGTGCTGCCTTCAAGGAGTCCTGTCACCTCAGCTGCTCAGGACAGGACACTAATGGGTGAGCTGGAGGCAGCTGCTAGTGAGAGACATGGGCTCACTTTTGAGCAGTTACTGTCCTTGATTCCACTAAGCCACACTCCTTACAACAGAACACTTTCAGGGGTGGAAACACATGAGCGTTTCCTCAGAAAGATCCAAATTAAAATCCCATCTACACCAAAAGACTTTCTCCTTTTGAAAGAAAACAATTACAATTAAATAATAAATCACTGTGGAAACTTGAAATCAAAGGTAATGCTCATGACCTTAAAAGAATTGAGTCCAATGTGGCACGCAGACTTCTGACTTGAAACAGCAGTGACATGAAACCTTAGACGATGAAGCGACTTAAGAGTGGAAAAATAAGTGCTACTGTCAAATTAATCCAAAAACATATTAATTTTGATTCTTGAAACACATAAACTCAAGGCTTTTTTTTTCTTCAATTAAAACAGTTTGTATTTACAAACAAAACCTATACAAGGTAGGAACAAACAGCTCTACTTTGTTGGATTATATGCATGCTTAGAAATCCGGAGTAAGTCCACCACTTTCAGCACAGTCACACACTGGTGTAAGAACACAACCTTACCCAAAGATATAAGATTTTTTCTAATATTTTCTAGGATTCATAGCATCAATTCTTGTTAGGCTACCTATGCAAAGGGAAGCATCCTCCTGTCATTAATGTTCCTCCAGAGCAGATGAGTCAGTAGGCAGCCACATTGCCACAGGACAGCATGAAACAGGTGATGCAGGTCAGGCAGTTTGGAAAAGCAAAAGGAAGGCCAAAACACAGGATGTGTGACTTTATGGGGGAAGATCTTGAATAGATCTTGAGATCTGCTCTTCTATTAGTAGAAAAATACTGATTAGTAGAAAACTACTGATCTTTCTTTTTATCCCCTCCAAATGCTTCCATAAAGTGGAGATAATGTCTCTCTCTTAACTGAGAAACAGTTTAGAGGATTATTTAAAGTTAGTGAGTAGAAGTTATATATTGTCTATAACTAAACAAAAAACCTAATGGTAGTTGGATCACGGTGAGTGAAATCAGTAAAAAGTAATTTTAGAAACGCTTACTTTATTTTCACGCTCGATTTGCTTATACTTCAGGGTAATGAAGTTCAAGTCAGCCATCTCAGACTCCGTTTGCCGTGCCTCTATCAAACGGCTGATGTATCTGTTTACTCGAGTTCCTGGAGTGTTGTATACAACATTGGTAGAAAAAGAGGAACGATTCCTGAGTTTTTCAGAGGCTGTCCTTAATGCTCTCCTCTGTAGCACAGGTGAAGAAAGAAGCACAGATTCTGTTAATACTGAAATTTTTCATTGCTGTTCATATTCTCTCAAGCTCCCAGACAGGATGGGGAATTTATTAAGCAAAGTAACTACAAAAGACAGAGATCTTAACTCCTTAGCTGAAATCCCAGTCTCATTAAAATCAATGAGAAAACCCCCACCGCATTCCAGGATTTCAGTCCTTATCTGCTGAAATTTGCTTCACATGCTGCCCTGAGACTTCTCTGCCACTGAGGAAATGATCGGTTTGATCCTGATCACTGTGACTTTGCCTAGAAAAAGAATTAGAATTTTTTTCTTTATGGAAGACACTGAGCTTTGGACATTTTGAAGACAGGATAACCCGGATCTTCAGGATACAAGAAAAGTCCTCCTGTCCAAGACTGTCTAGGTAACAATATATATTTTCAAAAGATAATTTTCCTTAACCTCTTCCACAATGACCATATGTGACTTCACTGGGTCTGAAATCTCAGGTGTTCCTATCTTTAACTCACCCAGGTGGCTCTCTTGTTAAGACCTCCTGGGGATGCCTTAGGTGCACTTGCAGACTCAGATGGAGCTCTCCAGTAAATTATCAGAGCTAACCTGTGCCTCATTGGAGTTAATTCCTCCATGGCTGAGACAGCACAACTGACAAGGTGGTAATTCACAGTCCTTTTCAGTGCAAAAGATTTATGACAGAGTGTATCTGAAAGGAATTTAGACAATCTGTCTCACTTTTCACAGAGATTACTCAGAAGGCAGTGAGCAGCATCTTAGTCACACTGGTGGTAATCTTCAGTTGAGGGCACTGTAATCTAAATCATTATGGCTAAGATCTGCACTAGTATGACTGTCCATGCCCCAGCACACTGGAAGGATCAGGGCCTTCACAAAAAACTCTTGTAGATGTGGTGTTTTTTAAACACAGAGTAAGAAAGATGTAGGCCAATCTTGTAAAAGAAAAAACAGTCACCTAATGGTTAGCACACTGAGCAGGAAGAAAGCAACATCCTTTTCACCTCAAAAGTAGTGAAGCCTTACATCCCAGAAGAGTTTTGACAACCAGGCTCAGGCAAGTTGTACTACTTCCATATAGTTAAAGGAGTAATTTTTTATTTAACATCTGCAGAGCTCAGGAAGGTAACTCGACACATTATAGAATGCCAAGTCTGACCAGGGATAAGGACGACATTGACTTAAGGTATAATCAGTAGAGTCTGTCAGCAAGCTGTTACAAAAGCACACAAAATTTATCTCTTCAGAGCAGTCAGTACTTAATAGTCCACTCTTTAAAGGCTATACTACAAAATATTCTTGTAAACTAGGTGGTAAAAAGAGGTGGTGATCACTATTGAAGTAAATCTGCAGGAATGGCAGTTTCCTGTCTTATTCCACAAGACGTAGTTCTCATGAGAACCTCATCAGTGAATGAACAGTGGACTACAGCAGTTCAGTAGCTCACATAGCTTGTGTTATATATATATATATTACACCTGAATACTTATGAATAGTGGGAAGGATTAACTGCTGACTGGTACCTTAGTTTTCTGAACATAAAGAATGGACCTTAGCAAAGATAAAATAACTTTCCAAGTCCTATTTGCTGGTTTTGTATGTAAAGAGCAATTTATACCAGCATTAAACAATTATGAGACTACTTGAATTCTTTTCTTCAAACTATCAGATCCCATTGCTTGTTGTCCGTGGTGTAAGTAGTAACTGTTTCAACATGAAAAATAATCCTGTGGACATACATTGTTTAGAGCTTTCAAATCTGATCTTCTGGGTTCTATTAGCCATAACAGAAATCTTAAATTGTCAGCCAAACAACTATCATAAATGTTTCTAAACAGATATAAAGTTGTTCTTTTGAAAAAGGCATTTGTACCACAAGTTTGTAGGGGAACTGAGTGCTTTCAGGAATATGGTCAGGAATATACAATTCCTGCAATACAGGACATGTATTGCATAATGTGAAGCAGAAAATACATCTTTGGGATTTTTTTATAATCCAAATTTAATGCTAATCATAGCATAATCATAAGGGTGAGCAAAACAGTTTTTAAAAGAAAGAAAAAAGAAAATGGTTCTTTCCTTAAAAACCTGGGATGAGTGTAAATGATGGGAATTATTCTGATATGTGGAATAAATTATATTATCTATTCTGCCATTTTAAAATAAAGTTAAATTTACTGTGCTTAATCAAAACAGCTGTTGCTCACATATAATTATTAACACTAGGTCTTATTTTTATCTCTATTATTATTTCACATGGTAGACTTACATAATGTCTTATATGTGATCAAGATACAGTATTTATATTTATCAGAGACTTCATAAATAAATTAAAGCTACAGTAACATGTTGATTTCAAAGCCTCTACAGCCACAGCTTGTTCTACATAATTTGAGGACTGACATCCCTGAAGAAACTCTGCATTGTAACACAGTGTATTTATATTAAAATCATATATCATGCACCATGATATAAGTTACGTATTAGCTACAAAAGCTCAGAAAAACAAGTTCATTTAAAGATAACACTGTAGGACTTCACTACAAGTGATCCAATATGAGAAAATTTTCATCAGATCCCTAGCAAATGTTTGGGTATATTACCATAATTATACATATATACATTTACACAAGACACATTGTAAAGTATTGCATATACTTCAAAGAATGTGTGTACTAATCCACAATTGGAAAGCCTTGCACATGGCCAATTTCAAAATCAAATCTGGACTTTCTGCAAGTCTTCACTGAAACTGTCCTAAAGGAACTAACTTCTTCTCTTTTCCCTCAAAAGAAACACAAGCATCTAGTAAGATTTAGACTGAATCTTCAATAAATGTACATTATTAAGAAAAAAAAAAGTAGAGCAATCAGTCAAGATGAATTACTGATTCTACCCAAGCCCTGCTTTGGAGCACCAATGTAGGAGCACTATAGATGTGGCCTATGTAATATTGCCACCTGCTGGCAAATCAAATCGAATGAGCATGTCTCCAAAAAGGTTTGTTTCTTCATAAAATTCTGAGCAGATCAACACACAGAAAAAGAGGTAAACCAAACTACGAGTATGTAAACCAATTTTGACTTATTGTATTACAACCTCCAAAAAAGAGGTATTTGTATTTGATTTTATATTAGGGTCTTTTGGATTTGGATTTGTATTAGGGACTAAGAAGTTTGTTGGTTAATCAGTAGCCTTCCACTTTTTAGAGAACCACCTGGAGATACAAAAATTATTCTGTTATTTCACATTTTTTGCCATCAGCTTCAGATTATGATGGACTCATGATGCAAAAGAACAGCTCTCGGTAACTGCAGAAAAAAGCCTCAGAAACACTAATTTCTGTGAAGGAAGCCCTTAATAGGAGCCACATAGGACACCTGTGCTGGCTTTTTTACGCGGGGCT